GGTGTGGCCTGTTATGCTAATGAGTTCCTGCTGGGCTTTTTCTACCAAAAGAGCCCTGGTCTTGAAATCTAAACCCCGACATGGCTTGGGACTGGGGCATCAGGAGGACCGCCTTCTCCCATATGTTCTTATCCCAGGAATTAAAACGGCAGGGAGAGGCCCATCTGACTGTTCCACCAAACAAAGACACTCATCTGGTGGACTCACGACACAGGGCCTTTTCTCCGGCAGCCCCATAATTATGGAACAACCTCCCCGGGGAGGATGCGCCTGGCCCCTTCCCTGTCAATCTTCAGGAGGCAGGTGGAGATGGTTTTTGGTGCTTGGGGGGGGGGGGGGGTTGGGGGGGCTTTTAGGGTTCGTCGCTGGTGGGCCTCCTGATGGCCCCTGGTATTTTTGGCCACTGTGTGACACAGAGTGTTGAACTAGATGGGTTGCTGGCCTGATCCAACATGGCTTCTCTTATGTTCTTATGTCTGGGGCAAGTGATGCTCTGTATTCTTGGTGTTTGGGGGGGCAACAGTGGGAGGGCTTCTGGAGTTGTGGCCCCGCTGGTGGACCTCCTGATGGCCTTTGGGTTTTGGCCACTGTGTGACAACAGAGTGTTGGACTGGATGGGCCTTTGGCCTGATCCAACATTGGCATCTCTTGTGTTCTTATGATGTATCATGTATCAATTAGTTTGGTTTTTAGATTTTAAATTGGAATTATTATGGAAATTATTTTTATTTCCTCCCCCCCCCCTTTGTTTACTGAGCCCACTTGCAGGGGAGGGCAGGATAGAAATCCCATTAGGTAGGTAGGTAGGTAGGTAGGTAGGTAGATAGATAGATAGATAGATAGATAGATAGATCGATAGTCAGCCTCCGGCTCACACCTTTCTGCCTTAACTCAGGAAGGGTGGCTCCAGAGCAAACTGATTTATGCAGCAGCCAAATCGCTCGCTCACCACTTTTATGCCAGCAGCTCACAAAGTAGGATTTTTGCTCACAAGACTCGGCAGCGTAGAGGGAGCGTTGCATAGCCCTCTGCTGTCTGCCCACTGTGAGGGAAAGTGTGCATTGGGCGAATCCTTTGGCTGCGAAAGTTCAGTCTTGCTGGGACCCCAGGCTCTCCGAACGGATGCTTCGTTCACTCCTTTTTAATGAAGGGCCCCTCGTAGAGAGACCCTCTGGTGTTGCTAGAACAAACTTTCAGACTGGTACAAAACAGATGCATTTTATATTTGGGGCACAGGGGGGGGGGAGATGTTCTAATCCCCCCTCCCCGGCAAACTTTTATGTGTCTATATGTGCAGCCAGAGCTGAGAAAGGGTTGTGCCCCGGGGGGAACGGGACAGGCCTAATAGAGACCCGCATGGAGGAGATAACTGTTTGACAGCGTTTATTACCCAATCAGCCGAAAAAACCTCTTTGTCCTCTTGGTCTGTTTTGCTGTGATAAGCAGTGACGTCCTGCCTCCTCTCTCTCCCTCTCTCCCCCTCTTTTTCTGCCCAGGACCTGTTGTTTACCGTGTGCGCTCTCAATATCGTCTCCACGATTGTCTGCGCTCTGGCCACGGCTATGTGCTGCATGCAAATGGTCTCCTCTGATGTCCTGCAAATGGTGAGTGAATGTCAATGAGCCTCGGTAATTATGCGTTCTTTTGCCTCTGTGGACCGGGGCAATATATAGGGGGGGGGCGCTTGCCCAGGGCTCGGTTTTCAGAATGTGGGAAGGAAGGATCCCTCTGACAGCCTAGGGTTACCAACCTCTGGGGGAGACCCAGAGAACTCTCAGAATTCCAACTGATCGCCAAACTGCAGAAATCAGAAAAAATGGCTGCTTGGAAGAGTGGACTCAATGAAGAAGGAAAGTTGGTTTTGTACCCCACCCTTCACTAGCCAAAGGAGTCTCAGAGCGGCTTACAATCTCCTTTCCCTTCTCCTCCACACAACAGACATCCTGTAAGGTAGGTGGGGCTGAGAGAGCTCTTTCGAGGACTGCTCTTGAGAGAACAGCTCTGAGTGAACTTGTGACTGACCCAAGGCCACCCAGCTGGCTGCACATGGAGAAGTAGGAATCAAACCCGGTTCTCCCCAATTATAGTCCGCGCTCTTAACGACTACACCAAACTGAAACAATGACAGCACACGGGCTCTCCTTTCCCTTATTTTACCATTTCACAGTTCTGAGCTCTGATTGGTCAGCAAACGTTCCCAGTGTCTCTCTGTATACATCATACTCACTGGCTCTGTGTTATAGTTACAGCTGGGCTTGCCTGGACCAAGGGTCTGATCAGTATAAGGCAGCTTCATGTGTTCATGTATTATAGGGGAGGGGTCATGGCTCAGTGGAAAAGCCTGTGCTTGGCATGCAGAAGGTCCCCGGTTCAATCCCTGGCATTGGCAACTAAAAGGCTCAGGAAGGAGGTGGTGTGAAAGACCTCCGCCTGAGACCCTGGAGAGCCACTGCCAGTCAGTAGGCAATACTGACCTTGATGGACCGAGGGTCTAATTCAGAAAAACTTAAACAAGGTTATAAATATGTAAAATATGTAATAAATAAATAAACTCATATAATTATAAAGGTTATCCCAAATGTAATACTAAATGTAAATAAGATCTAATACATATAAAAGGTAAAGGTTTCCTTGCTCGAAAAGCCAGTTGAGTCCAACTCTAGGGTTGCGGTGCTCATCTCCATTTCAAGACTTCTGAGTCCAGGACCCAGGTTAAAACATGAAATGGCTGAGTGATTAAGAGAGTCGGGCGAAGGAAGCGATGATGCAGCAGCAGCAGCAGCAGAACTGGAAGCAGGAGATGGCCAGTTCCACTGCAGGCCTGATAGAAGCCCGCATTTCACAGTTCTGAGCTCTGATTGGGCCTGATCTGGCCCCCGGGCCGCATGTTTGACACCCCCTGCTCTAAAATGTCCATTCCAAATGCTTGAAAAATCTGACGTAGTAAAACTTTCCAAAGAATTCTCCTGCTGTGTAAGAAAGTTAGCTTCCTCCCGACTTCATTAGGGTGATGAAGCTTGTAGCGAGTAAGGCTCCGCACCCAACGAGCTATCGATAAAAACCGTTTCGAGACTCTCTTTCTCAAGAGATAATGATCCTTTTCTTCAGAGCTGATGATCCGTCTACAAACGAAACCCTATGTAGAAACATAGAACAGACTACGTATAGTGCTCATCATTATAATGTTAAAAAAGACACTTGGTCCCGATAAGGCCACTCACAATTTTCACAGGTAATAAGGTACATTAATGACGAAACGCCAGCTGCCTCCAGATTTCAGTTCTTCAGCACTGACGTACTGGAGGCAGATGCGTTCCGTCATTAATGTACCTTATTACCTGTGAAAATTGTGAGCAGTCTTATTGGAATCGGGTGCCTTTTTTAACATTATAAAGATGAGCACTATACGTAGTCTGTTGCATGTTTATACATAGGATTTCGACTGTAGACGGGTCATCAGCTTTGAAGAAAAGGATCGTTAGCTTTTGAGAAAGAGAGTCTCGGAACGGCTTTTATCGCTAGCTTGCTGGGTGTGGATCCTCATTTGGTACAAGCGTCATCACCCTAATGAAGTCGGGAGGAGGCGAACTTTCTTACCCAGCAGGAGAATCATTCCTGTGTCAGATTTTTCAAGCGTAGTAAAACTTTCCAAAGAATTCTCCTGCTGTGTAAGAAAGTTAGCTTCCTCCCGACTTCATTAGGGTGATGACGCTTGTACCAAATGAGGATCCACACCCAGCAAGCTAGCGATAAAAGCCGTTCCGAGACTCTCTTTCTCAAAAGCTAACGATCCTTTTCTTCAAAGCTGATGACCCGTCTACAGTCGAAATCCTATGTATAAACATGCAACAGACTACGTATAGTGCTCATCTTTATAATGTTAAAAAAGGCACCCGATTCCGATAAGACCGCTCACAATTTTCACAGGTAATAAGGTACATTAATGACGGAACGCATCTGCCTCCAGTACGTCAGTGCTGAAGAACTGAAATCTGGAGGCAGCTGGCGTTTCGTCATTAATGTACCTTATTACCTGTGAAAATTGTGAGCGGTCTTATCGGAATCGGGTGCCTTTTTTAACATTATAAAGATGAGCACTATACGTAGTCTGTTGCATGTTTATACATAGGATTTCGACTGTAGACGGGTCATCAGCTTTGAAGAAAAGGATCGTTAGCTTTTGAGAAAGAGAGTCTCGGAACGGCTTTTATCGCTAGCTTGCTGGGTGTGGATCCTCATTTGGTACAAGCGTCATCACCCTAATGAAGTCGGGAGGAGGCGAACTTTCTTACCCAGCAGGAGAATCATTCCTGTGTCAGATTTTTCAAGCGTTTGGAATGGACATCTTGAGAGACTGAATTCTAATTTTTGGTTTATATGTACTTGTATACATATTATATCTTATTTACTATTATATTTGGGATAAAGTACACTTGTAACCTTAATAATCATATGAGTTTGTTTATCACATATTTTTGCATGGTATGACCTTGTTTAAGTTAACTATTCATAGCCGTGTCCCCTGTGTGCATAGCTAATTCAGTGAAAGGCAGCTTCGTGCGCTCGTGCATTATTTGATTAGTTAATTAATTAATTAATTCCGTTTCTATCCCGCCCTTCCCACAAGTGAGCTCAAGGCGGGCTGCAACATTAGGATAAAACAACAAAATCAGATGAAACGATCAACTTAACCCTTAGACGATGGCAAATAAACTACAGCTATTTCCGTGGTGCCCTGGTGCTAGACAATAAAAACAGAAGGGCTGGATCCGAAAAGAAATTCCAGGTTATGGATACCCTACCTTGGGTAGACCAAGGTGGCTATCATTGTGTGTCATCGAAAATTGAGGACCATAATATAGATGGTAACAGAGAGGTAACAGGAGGGGCCAGATGATATTTAACGTCCGCGGCCTCACTCAAAGGCCGGGTGGATGAGCTCCGTCTTACAGGAACTGTAAAAGGTCCCGCAGGGCCCTGATTTCTAGTGGGAGCTCATTCCGCCAAGTTGGGGCCCGGGATGAAAAGGTCCTGGCCCTGGTCAAGGCCAGATGGATGTCTTTTGGGCCGGGGACCACCAGTAAATGTTGGTCTGTTATGGGGAGAGCAGGGCTTTTTTTGTAGAAAAAGCCCAGCAGGAGCTCATTAGCATAATAGGACACACCCAATGGCAGATACTCATTAGCGTATTAGGCCATGCCCCTGACAGTGCAGCTCATTCGCATATTAGGCCACACCCCCTGCCTTCCCTTGGCTTGCCCGGGCACCCTGCGGCTGCGGGGAGCCCGGGCAAGCTGGCCCTTGGAGGGGAGGGGAGGC